CTAGGCTGACCACCTACCCTCCTGACCTGGGCCTGGCAGTTCCAGGAATAAAGCATTCTGTCTGGCGGCCCCCCAACTTCTAAAACTTCTGTGGCCCACTGGAGGGGCAGAGAGAGGGCAAGTGTCTGAGAATCTAACGTAAAAACTGCCTTTCCTACTGTGGGTGCCAGTGGGCAGGCTGGGCTCACAGAGCTGGCCTGCTTCTGGCCCCTCTCCCTACCCAGCACCCTGGGTCCTTCTGCCCTCCAGGACCCAGGTCCCTTATGAGGCGAAGTCCTCTCCTCAGAGAGTATGCCTGGGCCTCATGGAGTAGCCCTTGGGGCCCAGTGAGGCTGATGGTGAAAACAGCTGCAGATGGACAGATGCTGAACAGGGAGGAGCATGGGGCACTTGGCAGGTAGACATGGGCGCAGGTGGGCCCTAGGTGCCTCGCTCAACCAGCAGATGTCTGATGGGTGCTTTGGTGAACACAGCATGAGGGAGCAAGAACAAGACAGCATCAGAGAGGACAGCCAGGGGACCTTGGGAGCAGGTGACCGTGGGCAGAGCAGGCCAGCGGAGGCCTCCCCGGAGAGATTGGACAAGGCAGGAGCCAATGGGAATATGGGGAGCCACTCTGGGTGGAGAGGGGCCAGGGGGTGACTGAAGGAGTGATGAGGTCTGAGGAGCTCCGAGATACACATGCCTAAAGACCATGGCGAGGGCTTTGCCTGTCGCTCAGAGCATGGAGAAGGTCTGCTCTTAATTCTGAGTAGAGTCAGGGGGTCTCTCTGGACCCTGTGTAGAAAAGGGGGTCTCTCTGGACCCTGTGTAGAAGCAGAAGTTACAACATTCGATGCTGTTGGAACTGGAACACCACAAGACGGTGGCTTTAAAGAACGGGCATTTACTTTCTCACAGCTTTGGAGACTGAACATCCAAAGTCAATTCTCAGCCATGCGACTCCTTCTGTGAGGCTCTTGGCTGGTTCTGGGGGCTGCCAGTGATCCTTGGTGCTCCTGACTTGCAGACGGGTCCTCACATGGTATCTGACTTCCCGTGTCTGTCTGCCTGCCTAGCTGTAATGTTTTAGAACTCGGAAGTGATTCGGTGAAGTTGCAGTTGTGAGAAACGGCCGAGTCAGCCAACCCTCCTCACCGATAGCGCAAGGGAACTGCATCTGCGTCCCCACGGTCATCGGCCTGCTGCAGCCTGTGGTCGTACCCCTGTGTTCTTGGGGTACCGCCCGACCTAGAGGGGCTCACTCCCAGCTCTACATCAGCGTTCTGGTGGGGTTCATAACATGTTCATTGGCTCATCGCCAGACCTCTCTTCCTAGTCTCTTAGACGTCTAGAATCTGAGGTTCTGCTCCCATTTTTCTCCCATCCCATCAAGGCCCATCTTCTGTGACTCTGAAAAGTCACGAAAGCGAAACACTGTATAGTTCTTCTCACATGTGTTTTGGGGGCACACAGTTCTACCCATAACCCCATGCATTCCTGTTCCAGTATTTTCCACGTTATGTGTTTTTGTCCTCATAATGTCCCTTGAAGGAGATGCTACTAATGTCCCCATTCTCCAGATGGCGAAACGGAGGTCCAGAGAGGGGAAGTGGCCTGAAGTCACCCAGCCAGGGAGAGGTAGAGGCAGGATCTCAAACCCGCTGCTGCTCGGCTCATACCTGCAGGTCCAACCAGGGTCCCCAACCCAAAGATGTCCTCGCACCTCACCCCACAGCGGCCGCAAAACAAGAGCTCAGTTCACTGCTGGCCTGCCATTGAATCAGTTCCAACTCATAGCAACCACTGTGTAGGGTTTTTTCAAGGCTGTGAATCTTTATGGGAGCAGAAAGCTTTATCTTTCTTCCACGTAACGACTAGTGGATTTGAACCGCTGACCACATGGTAACCAGCCCAGTGTATAACCACTGCTTCCAGGCAGGGCTCCTTGGTACCCATAGCTGTCCTAGGGATGTACAGAACACAGGTGTTTTTCTTCCAGGAGCTGAAGCCCAAAGTCACCCATCTGTCAGCCCCTGCCATCGGTCATGGTACTAGGAGCCCATGGGTCCTCACTCTCCAGACCCAGACTGCTTCCCAGCTAAGGACCTCCCCAGGCAGATGGGTACCTGGCACCACCCCCACCTCAGGAGGACTCCACAGGGGTGCTGGGAGGTGCAGCATCTGCCCCTCCTAGTGCGCACTGGGCCGCAGCGGCCGGGTGGGCGGGTCCTAGTAGAAGGACAGGTACAGACTCCCACAGGGCTGGGCCCAGGCCATGACTGAAAGAGTGTTGCGGGGGAGGGGTTGGTACAGGCGGTGGGAACGCTGAGGGGCTCCGACTGCTACCTCCCGGGCTCTCTGGGGAGGGATAGGAGCCTAGGGCATGGGACAGGGCAGTGACAGGACCTAGCTGTGTCCTGGAGAGACCAACCTGTGATGGGGGGGTCAGGGGACCTAGGAAGCTACGGCAAGCTCTCCACAAGGAGACACCAAGGGGGAGGGGCCCAATAGTGGGTAGGGGGCTCCCAGGCTCGAGAACAGGAACACTGGGTGGGCCCCTCGTGGGAGCAGGTGAACTTGGGGCAGTGGAGAAGGCCTCTACACTCCAGGCCCGGTATGAAGTACATCTGGTGCAAAGGCCATGGCAGATCTGTGACCCTGCAGACCAGGATGTCAGTGGGGTCCCCAGCCTGGGGTCCCCAGCCCTGGCTTTCCAGTCGGCTCCAGGCAATCTGACTGAGAGAGCCCATATGCCCTGCAGCCTGGGGAGGGGCCTTCAAGTCCAGAACAGGATCTCGGTTGGGCAGGTTCGGTCCAAATTTCCCCTGAAAAATGCTTTTTCAGGACTTAGAAGTCACAACCGCATCAGATCTTCATAGCTTTCGTTCCCCTTCCGGGAGCTGGGAACTCGGTCTTACGGCTATTAATTGGGTGAGCTGAGGCCAGGCACAACTTGGTCTTTGTTTCCCTTTCAAACACTATCAAATTACAAATAATGACTAGATCCAAGATCCCCCAAACTGATCCAACCCCATGGCTCACAGGGAGGTCGGGGGGTGGGGTGCCTCCCCTGGGTACCTTACCAGACAGACATACCTCCTGATGTTGGTCTCACCGTATTGGGGGTGGGGTGGTGAGGGAGGAATAAATGAGGGGGAGATAGTAAGTCACTGGACCCTCTAGGGTTTATAGCTGTTTGGGGGACCACCCGCTGTACCCCAATAAATGAGCAAAGGTGATATACACAGGGTTTGAGGTTGTGAGGGATGGAAATGGGGTGGAACCATTTCAGTACAGTTTTGGGAGGTCCCCACGAGCAGTGGGGAGACCCCTGAGCCAGTAGAGAAACTTCAAAAGGAGCTGGACAGGGATCCAGGCATTGAACCTTCTCTTCCTGGACCCTGGGCTCCCATTATGGGGGGCAGGAGGTATGAGGCCCACCCATTCCACTTTCGGGATTGATACACAAGCAAACGCCACAGCGGGAGAACCCACAGGTCACCTGGTTCCTCTGCATTCTGTCTGGGACTCTGGTTGGTGCCAAACCAGTTGATGCCCAAGCTGGGCCCCATGGTGAGAGCATAGGACACTGACCAGGTCAGCCTCATCCATCAAGATTTCCCTCCCAGGCTGTCTCTGCACTCAGTTTCTCCATGTGGGCTCTGAAGAGGGAGGCCTGACCCACACCCCCAGAGACTCCTGGGCCTGGCTGGGAGAGGCTGACACCTTAGGTCAGCACTGGGCTCTCTTTTTGGTCATCTTTGCAGCTGACCTCCAGCCACACTCCCTGGGAAATGGCTCTGTGGGGTTCTGAGCTGAGGGACAGGTGGAGGAGAGCAGCCCCTTTATTCAAGGACAAAGGGGTACAGAACTGCCATCGTCTTCCCCTTACCCAGCCCACTCACACCTAAGTCCTACAGTCCTGTCCCCAAGCCAGCATCACTGCCAGCCCTCCTCCAAGGGCCAAGGTCTCTCAAATCCACCCAAACCTAAGGCAGACCTGGCTCTCTCACCTGGCCTCAGCCTGCCCCTGGGGCCCCAAGTCACCTCCACTGAGCCAACTGCTCACCCCAACCTTCCCAGCCAGGCCTGGCTAGCCACGTCCTCCTTACTCCTTCCCAGCAAAGCTGTCCCTTCTGACCTCACTCTGTCCTCTGCTGAGCTCTTGGGACACCTGGTCACCATTCATCTTGGGTTTCTCTGCTACAGCTGCATCCCAGGCCCTGTCCCCTCCTGCTCCTGGGTGGCTGGGGGACATGCCCAGCACTTGAGGGACGGTGTAGACGGGCCATGCTCTCTGGCTCCAGCCCTGGAGGAGGGAGGCCACAGAGTGGGGGACTCTGTCTATGGCAGACAATGCACTAGTCCCAAGTTGAGGTGTGAGGTCTGCCGGGGCATCCATCCTGGGAGGCACGAAGCTGGTACCCCTCACCTGCCCAGACAGGCCAGAGCTTGCCACCTGGCCCGTCCGTCTGTAGGAATGAGCAGTCCCGCTCCCCCACGCCTTGCTCCCTGTCCACTCCTCCTGACCCAGCCCTGGGATCCCTGTTCAGGGGCTACCACTACCTCCTCGGACCCCTGAAGCCCCCCAGCCCAGTCCCCAGAGCCAAAGGTGCTAATAAAGCCAAAGGCTGCAGGGCAGCTTCCTGCTGGGGTCCCCACCATACCCAGACCCCCAGAGTCCCAGGAAGGTGGAGCTAAGTCATCCTTAAGACTCAGGAGCCAAGTCCTAAGGTGAGGGTCGGCCATCTTTATCCTAAACCAGGGGTAGAGACAGGTCCCCAAAGTAGAGGGGGGACCTTGTTGCATGTCTACACAGGTACACACACCACACATGGGGGAGACGCACCTCCCCACACACACACACAGGGGTGACTGCAGCCCAGTTACAAGTAACAGGCGTTCCATGCATACAAGCTTGTGTGTAGCACCCATGCACAGCATGCATGAACCGCAGGCCTGAGCTCACCTGGATAGTACCCGCCCCCCGCCGACTCAGGTGTGTTTTGTGCTTGCAGGTGACACAGCTGGACCAGAGGTTGGTTCTCATAACAGACATGCTCCACCAGCTGCTTGTCCTGCACTCCGGAGGACCCCCCGGAGGAGGCGGCAACCAAGCCACCCAGCTCAGCAGCGGTGGCTCCCTCAACCCTGAGCTCTTCCTGCCTAGCAACTCCCTGCCCACCTATGAACAACTGACCGTGCCCCGCAGGGTCGCCGATGAGGGGTCCTGATGGGGATGCAGGGTGGCCGGTGGGTCAAGAGGGGAGTCGCCATGGGGACCCCCAGTTGCCCCACCTCTCCTTTAGAGGGGCACCCCCAGCCACAGACACCTCCTAGAAGGCCGAAGAGGTCAGCGTCTCTCCAGGGCCCTGGGGGCCATGCTGCCCAGCAGATCCTGGCAGATCCTGGACGTTGGCTGAGTGGGGGTGGTGGCCAGTTGCATGGTGGCCAGTACGTGGTGGGGTGCGGCATGCGTGGCTAAGAAGTCATACAGGCCAAGCACACTCAGCTCCAGGGGCCTCTGAGGGGAGATGGGTTGTCCTGGTCTTGAATCCAGGACCCAGATACCCAGGGAGAAGTAGGCAGGTGGACCCACACCAACAAGGGTGGCCACCGTGCTCTGTGCCCCAGCCTGGCCCTCGGTTCTCAGGGTTCCTTCAGGAGGTGCTAACCTGAAGGCTGAAGATGTGCCGCCTGAAACACCACCGCATCATAGGGTGTCATGGGACGGGGTGGGCAAGGGTGGCATCTTCCCCACCCATTCTGGAGAGGAAAGTACTAGTCCGACTCTGCACCAGCCACCCCTCCTGCCCAATCGGAGCTGGACAGCTGCCACCCTCAGCACTGCCGGGCCTGGTGGGCCTACAAGGGCTCCAGACTGCCCCCTGGGTAGGCACCCTCTGGGCACCGTGCCTCACAGAAATCTGAGTGATCTTGCAGTGATCTGTACCCAAGTTTAATGAATCTCACCGTGTGATTTTGATTAATGGTGCGGGTTTTTCCTAATAAACGGAGAATCACAGGTTTATCTCAGCAGCAGTGGTTCCTGGGTGTCAAGCCCAACCCCCCGTTTTGTGCCCCCAAGAGCTGCCTCATGTATTTCCACCTCAGAGCTCACTCAGGCCGTCTAGATGTCTGTCTGTCACTCACTCTGTCTCACATTGTCTGTGTGTCTCTCTCACTGTCTCTGTATCTCTGTCTCTCTGTCGTTCACTGTCTCTGTCTCACGTTGTCTGTGTGTCTGTCTCCCTCTCTGTCTCTGTATCTCTGTCTCTCTGTCATTCACTGTCTCTGTCTCACGTTGTCTGTGTGTCTGTCTCCCTCTCACTGTCTCTGTGTGTACCTCTGTTTCGCTCTCTCTCTGTCTCTGTCTCACACTCTGTCTCCCTACTGTATGCATCTCTGTCCCCTCCATGTCCAGCCACACCACTGGGCATCTGAACAGTCAAGGACCCTTTAACTCAGTCCCCATCCCCTATCCTCCAGAGCCTCCACCCCCAATACCCAGCCTTTAGGGCTAGAGAGGGGGGCACAGCTGAGATTTTTGAGGGACGGGGCCGTCCCAACGCCAACACCAGAGGCAGCAGGGCGGCCAGTGGCAAGGAGAGTTGGGGGAGTGGAAAGGGGGATGAGGTCCAGGTTGGAGTGGTGGCTAAGGATCCCTTGGAAGAGAGAGCCCAGCCCCCAGTGGACCAGCCCCCTTCGGGGAGTTGGCATCTGGCCTGATGGGTGGGGCCATGTGGGTGGGGGCGGCTTCCCTAGCCCCGCACCCACTGAGGAGGGAAAATTCCTGGAAAGACGTCGCCTTGTTTCCATGTTAAGTAAATATTTGCGGAAACCCTGGGAATCGCCGCTGGAAAGCGGGGCTCCCCGCGGGTGCCCTGAGCCCTAGCCAGCGGCCCTGGGGCGCAGCGTCCACAGCCGCTTTGTCTAGGTCGGGTCGGCCTAGCCCAGCGTCGCGGCGCCGCGCCTCTGCACGGGGGTCGCGGGGACGGGCGCCGTGGCCGCTCTCTCGGGTGTGAGATGCAATTTACCTGAAAGAAAGGCCAATTATGGAATTAGCTAATTAAGGCCGCGGAGGCGGCCCGGCCGCGCGGCCACAGGAACAGATGGCGCCGGCCGCATTCCTTCACTCGGCCCGCTGGCTGACTCGTACAGCACACGACCATCTGGTGTGTGGCACGTCCTGTGTACCCGCACAATGGCCCGGCAGACCTCTCCGGGAGAGAGCCGTCGCCCGGGCAACGCGGCATGTGCAGCCCCAGCCCCCCACCCCCGCCGGCCCCCGCCTGGCCCTTTGTGGGCCTGGCCTCAAGGCCGGGAGGCGCGGGCGCTGATAATGTCCGTGAGCATTTTCTCCACAGCGTCCGCCTTTGTCTCCAAATTGGGCTCCTTACGGAGGTCCTCGGGGTCCAGTGGGCGCCAGCGCATCTGCTCGGGCCGGCCGCGGGCGGGGAAGCTGCGCCTACTGCCCGCTGCCCGGGGCATCCACCTCCTCTGCCTACCCTACTGCTCCCCTTCCACCGGCTCCCCTGGCAGGGACGGAAGGGCCCTCAGTACACCCACCCACTGCCCTGGAGTCAATTCCAACTCATAGCGACGCTATGAGACAGGGTCAACTGGGTCAGCTGCTTCCTTCAAGTTTCTGCCACTGTCCTGTCTTTACAGAAGCAAACGGCTTCATCGTTCTCCTGGGCAGCAGCGGGTGGACTTGAACCTCCCCCATGGCAGTCAGCAGCCTAGTGCTCACACAGTTGGTGCTTAATAAAATCAGACACACAATGCCTAGGTGAGGCCTAGGTGCTGGGCTCTGCCTCCTCTCTGCCCCCTGAATCCTCAAAGTGCCCAGGTGTCTCCTGCCTTGTCCCGAAACCCAAGTATCTGCCCGCTGACCTCCCCAGGTGGCTCTGCCCCACCATCATCCTGCAGCCCGCTGACTGGCCCACACCATCTCCCACACCATGTCTCCACTTAAGCTCTTGCCCACCATCCTGAGGGTCCCCGCTACCTTGGGGAAGAGGCCATGCTGGGACCCTCTGACCTGGTGGAAGCTGGAGCCTGGGACCGTCTAGGGTGCTGGAGCTACAGTAAAGCCAGGGTTGGATCTTTCAAGCAGCAGGGACATGGGAGGTTGGGGGCATCCCTGAGGGAGTGGTTCAGGCCACATGCTTTGATCTGAAGCAGCCAGACAGCAGGGCGGGAGGGGCGGGCTCTAGACCTGGGGGCCTGGTCACCTTTGGGGACAGGAAGTCCCTTCCAGACACCCAGCCTGGATTGGGGGCCTCTTCCCTTCCTGAGCAGAGCCTACCTATGTCCCCAACCCCTTGGGCTACCTCTTGCACTGCCTGAGTACCCTGGTGGCTCATGGGAACTCCTAAGAGGTGACCCCCGCCTTGTCATTCTCAGCCCCATGGGACCCTTTGTGGGCCAAAAACTGTGCCCACCCCACCCCCTACCTGGGCAGCTGGGGCCACCAGAGCTGAGGAAAACTGCTCAAGTTTCTGCTGGCCTAAGAGAACTGATGACTTCTGTGGCCCTTTGCCTTGGAGGGGCTCCGAGAGGCCAGCAGTACTGCGCATGAGCCCACAGGCCAGCAACCGCTGACCCTCACAGGCAGCTGCTGCTACTTCACCTGCTTGAGGGGGATTGTCCCCCCACCCATTATGGGGCCAGCCTGGGAAGAGGGTGAGGTGGGGTGTCTGCCTGCCAGAGGCATTGACTAGGAGAACAATTTCCCTTAAAGAGGGGGGTCCTTGAGGCTGTGGTGGGGGAGGGGCCAGAGGCCTCCCTCAGCGGGTCTCCAGTACCACCACCACCACCACCACCGCCCCCCATACCCACCCCAACTCCCATTCTGTAACTCTTTCCTCTGAGCCCCCAACCCAAGGCACCAAGTCAGGAGGAGATCAGCCCAAGGCAGCCTACAGACCACCTCTCTCATCCTGCCTTTTGGAGCCCCCCAACCTGCCATCAGAGGGGACAGATCTGTGTTTAATCCCCCAGAGCAAAACCCACCCCCAGTCCTGCCTCCTGTTGCAGCCAGTCCGTCAGTCAGTCCAGGGCCCTGCTCAGAGTCACCTCTTCCCACAATCTATCCCTGATGGGCCCTCTGAAAACCCCTCCCCCTCCAAGCCCCGGCCAGGTCCAGCAGGGGGGAGTCATTGTCCACAGACAGCAGCAGGGGGCTTGGGGCCCTGTCCAGAGCCCAGGCAGCCAGCAGAGATTTGTTCACAAACCCAAGCCCCTCCCATCCCCTATGAAGATCCTGCTGTGGCTCCCTGAACACCCTCCCCTCCGACAGTCCCATAGGCCCACTCCTCCCGGCTCCCACAAGGCCATCAAGACAGACTGTGTAGTCCATCCCTGTACCCGTAGGTCACAAGCCACCAGTCCTCCAACCATCCACTGGCCACCCTAGGGTGGGGGCATCCTAAGAGCATCCTTCCCTCCTGCTGAGCCTTGAGAAACCCCGGCTAGCACCTCCAATATGGTACCATCCTTTCCCTTCAGCCCAAGGTACCACAGACAAAAGGAGCCACGTGGCCCAGCAAAGAGGTGACCAAAGCCCAGGTTCTGGCCAGCACACAGCCATGGACGTCTGTCCACACCCAGCACTGCTCTGTCACTGTCTGTGGGGTAGGGAGAACAGTCTGTCCAGCGCCCAGAGAGCTCAGAGAGGACTTTCAGTGGCTAGTCGGTCCCCAGCCCTTGCTATGCTGCTGAAGACTCAGGTGCAGTGAGAGGGAGGGAGGGAGTCAACATCAGCACTCTCACCTGCCCCCTCTAGGAATCCCCCCCACACCGCCCTGCCCCCACCCCTCCAAACCCTCCCTGACTTTCCAGCCTGTAGGAAAAACACCGGCTGGGCTTGTGATCTTTCTAGGGTACTAGACGCTGAACAACATCAAAGCCGAGGAGAGGAGGCCGGGAATGCATCAGGAGAGCTGCACCCTCCCACTGGCCACAGCTCAGGACACAGTGAACCTGGCCACCTGGTGACTGGGGCACTCCTGGGGGTGGAGACTTGCAGAACGTGTGGGTCCTTCCCTGGGTGCAAATGGGGAAACCGAGGCCCAGTGGGTGTTCGGGAATTTGCACTGGCGAGGCTTCAGGGAAGAGATGGAACATCTGGAGAAGTCAGTTGCTGGACCAGGAAGCCAGTGGGAAAGGAACAATGGGCTTGCAAAAGCAAAGAGCACCGCCGGACGTTCCTGGTGGCGGAGGCTGGATG